TTCAGCATTTCCTGCTTTTTACAGTTCCAAGAATGCTGAATGACGTGCAGACACACTTCATCAGGATAAGATTGCTGTATCAGCCCCTCACTAAAATGCACTCATTATTCAAATAATAACTGTATGTCTCCAGCATGTGTTCTGTGAAATATGTGTACATGATGTGGGCGAATAAACCAGCCCCTTTTTTTCAACATGCAAATCCTAACTTTAGCAGTGGGTTGAAATACTTTAGACTTTGAGTCCTTTAGTACCCAAAATGAGGCACCTGAAAAGAAACTTGGTCATTCTTTTGGGCAGCGTGTTAAAATTTTCAGAAGTTTTTAAATGTGGTTTTCAAGGGGGACTGATTTGATGTAGAAGTTTAAGTCCCATGATAAGTCTCATTTTTTAGATGGGGTGTGGACAGTAGTGGTCAGACTTGTCTTCATTGACGCTGAAGCCAGCTGGAATCAAGTGGGAGGAACAGCAGGTCCGTAGCATTGCGGAGGCTCAGAGTACTTGTTTTGGAGGTGACAAATATGGGTCAGAAGTTAAAAATGCCAGAAAAATATACCAATAAATCAGCTCTCTAAAGTAAAGTAAAGTTTTGTTTCTTCTAGCTGTCAGGAGATGAATTTATAATTTTATGTTTCTTCTGCCATCTCTTGTATCTTAAAATAATTCCTACAGAAGAGAGAACCAGCAAGAAACATTTTTCTTACACTACTGTGGGTGTTTGCTATGTCATTAACACTTGGAGGAGAACCACCATCTTGAAATCCTGTCCAGGCAGGTTTAAAAGTAAGGCTGAAAGAAGAATGATATTTCATTTAATTAAACACTAGACAAAAATCCATGCATGTTCTTCCCTCCTCTCTTTCTCAGTTTGAGATAGTAATGATGACACCTTTTGGGGTACTTGCGTATTTGTGGAAGTGGACATTCTAAAATTATTCTGTATACTAGATGTGTCCTGATCACTATTGAGAGCAGTAAAGCTGGACTGAAATTTGTACTTATGAAGTGGAATAGAGTAGAAAAAGTTCAGGATAAACGGGATCATTTTAGGTTGAGAGCAAGAGGTTCCAGTATATTCTGAGAAGAGAACATCACATAGTAAAAATGTTAAGTACCTGTTTATGTGTTTTATTCACAAGTCATGGGCTCTGACATTGCTCATTATTCTGCCTTTTCTAGTGCCATAAAAACCTTTAAGAAAATTAAAATAATAGCTTGGTTTCTTTTCAAGTTGCTAATGTGTTCTGTACAGTGACGAGATCACTGGGGGCCTGATCCTGGACGATATTAACCCTGAAGCTCCTGCAGAAGTTGTCGGTACTTAGATCCCTCTTGTGCAGTTTTCAAGATAAGAGATGCAATGCTATATTTTGGAACAATGTTCTCTCTCTGCTCTCAATTCTACTTAAAAGAGCCAGATCAACATAAAAGAGAGCTAAAGGATCCAAGCCTGACCTAGGTCATTTGGTACTGAATGGGGGAATACAGCAATGAGGTGTAATTTGAGCAGCCCTCTCTGCTGGGTAATGGCTTCTACTAGTTTAATGTATTCAAAGTAATAAAAATTTAACTGAGCCAGTTATATAAAATTATTGATAAAAATTGGAAGAGTTTAGGCAGGAATATTGAGTTAGTCCAAAAAGCAGAAAATGCCTGCTGAAAATGGCATCTAGTGAACAAGAGAGGGTAGGACTGGAAATTAATTGAGGAAAAGGGATGTGATGGGAATTAGGCAGAGAAAACAGCAAGAGGGAATTGGCTTTTCCTCTCCTTATCCCTTCTTGAGGCCATTCTTTGCCACTGGTACCAAGAGGACAAGTGGACAGGAAGGGATAAACTTTGCCACCAAGATGAGTCATTTCACTTATCGCCCAGAGCTACCTCGAGAGGCTGTGTCAAAGGGAATGGTCTCGGTAACCTCCTCACCTCTTAGGCTTGCACATAGTTCTGAAAATTATGTAGAATATGGGTTTGTACTTCTCCTATTACTGCCTTCCTGTTGCTTATTTTCCTTGTTCAGTTCTGCTACTTCTTTCTCTTCTCTCTGCTTTCTGTCTTGAGCGCATCATGCACAGAACTGCAGCGATAGTCCAGCTGGAGGAGCAGGTAGTGGCAATGTCTAACGCAGCGTTACGCTGGTTCGAGTGTGCCAGGTCTGACTGGGGGCTGGGGAGATCCTGTTCTGCTTGGATTATCCAGCAGGTGAAACTGCAAGGAAGAGGAAGGTTTTATCAACGGATTCATTATTTTTTTGCCTTTTTCCTGTTCTCTTCATTCTTGTTTCCTGAAGACCTATTTGCCTGTGCTGTGTTGCCTTTGGAAAAGCAGAACTGGATCCCAACAATAAGCCACTCCCATCTTATCTCGACTAACTTTCTTTTTGACCTGTAAAAGACACAAATAATGTTTTTAATATCTTCTGTGAGGTTGACAGTCAGGGATATTTTCCTCACTGAAACCCTAACAATTAAAGGAAACAAGCAGCATTATTTTGAATGAAGTATTTAATACCTTAGCTGGTTTACTTTCTTTTTTTTCATAAACGATTAGTGAGATTTTAATGACAATAATTTGATGTGGCACAAAGTTGTGCCTTGGCCTGAACTTGAAACTCTCCAGGAGTTTTAATCCTAGTTCTGGGAAGCAGGTCTGTGTCAACATGTAACTGTTCGAGCCAGTTTTGTCTCTAAAGGTATCACTGTGCCTTCCTCTCCCTTCTCACTTCAGGCACATCAGATTTTCAGTCCAGGTAGTTTTGGTGCCTGAAAATTCGAAGGACATAGAAATTACATAAAATGCCCTTACTGTCCCTGTGTCCTTCCCTCCTCATTCTCCTTCAATGACTTATTCTTAGAAACCAAGCAGAATCTCATCACGCTGCTGCTGAGCATACCTGGCACTAATTTGTCACCACTGCACATCAGGCAAGACCTGCGCTGATGCTTTTCACGTCAGCATTCGCTTCAGCATGTGTGCGTTCCCTCTCCTGTCTCCTTTTCCCATTACACACTCCATTTTTTTCCTCTTTCTGCAGCCAACAGAAGAGACACCAGATCACAACAACAGATTATTCACCTACCCCCTCTGTCCCCCCTTTCTCCCCCAAGAAGGTGGCCGTGATTTATCTGCTCATGTCAGTGAGCAGGTGGCAGTTAGACTCAAGGCTGAGCCTGCTTAGCCTGTGATAAATAACATATTTACCAGCCCTTCCATCTTCAAATGCTGTCCACATGCATTCCAGAAAGCAACACAAAACTCTTAATAGCAAACACATCCAGGCTTCAGCAGACGTGGGAAACGGGAGATATAATGAGTGTTTTCCTGCTAGAAGTAGGTTGGAATTGAAGCATGCTCCTCATCCCAGTACCTTTTATTCACGTTCCTGGAATTATCTGGCGTGCTTGCTTTATCCCCAACCATCTGTGATGGGCTGAGCTGGGAGAGATAAGCTCAGTAATCAGAAAATTGAGGGAAGCATTTCTGGCTGTGATAATCTTATCAGGCAGCTAATATACATTAACATTTGTACAGCCTGATGATGCAGGTGGGCCTTTGCTTATTTTTTCTTCCTGGATGCCTTTTGACAGGCAGGGGGAGAATGCAGGGCTTCAGGGTGCTGGGGGAAATTTGACTAAAACCTCTTTTCTACCCTCTCTCTTCTGCTCTGTCCCTGTGGTGTCAGAAAGAGGAGGGAGAATAATCCAACCATCCCTTTTCTGCCCTTTCGTGCTAACAGTGCTGCCATGCTCTGTCTGTCTTTTCTGGTAAGCATGGAAGGGCAAAGAGGCATTATGTCAAAATTTCAGTTCTGGCTGAGCAATATGACTGCGTGTGTCAATATGCTCCTCTACCTTGTAAAACTGGGGAGTTTCTGCCAACTTGCTGTCTGCAAGAAGTTTGCCATTGCAATGTGATTTTGCTCTACAAGTCTAATCCATCCATTGAAGGGAATGGTGTATTAATGGATTATTTCCCTGATGCTGAGCATTGAGCTCTCTGTGTTCATAAATTTTAATCTGTAATTAGGGCTGGATTGTTTATTGTTTTCCTCCTGAGTGAAAAATACAGTTTCTGGCAATAGATTTATTAGGGGAGTTAGTCACCAGGTGCTAAAAGACAGATGACAAAAGGAAATCCAAAATCTCAAGGATGAGTGCAAAGGAGGTCTAATCTGGGAGAAGGTGCTGGAACAGAAGTTTGAGTATCCTCTAGGTAGTTTGCCTCTGCTTGCAGTTCATAATAAATCATTTTCTGAGGGGTTTAGAAACAAGTAACATATGTAGTTTATCAATCTATGCATTGTCTTGATAGCTAAATTAGGGATACAGATTCGTGTAAGTCAGAGAGCCTGGGCATGATAGAGTCTGGGTAAGAAGTTTTCATGTCTGTAGACTTTTGAAGTACTTTCTTGTGAGTTCCTTCCCAAACAAGGCTAGAGGCAGAAAGTATTCTTAATTGTTTATTCCACCAGAGCTACCTGAGCAGCTTGAGCTAAAAGTGTATATTGGAAAGTGCTGGAAATATTCCCCAGTCTTTTGAATTCAATGTATATGTCTCAGAGTTGTCCTGGACAAGACAGTATAATCCTGTGGTTCATTTCTGCTGGGGAGGAATTGAAGCTAAATGAGGCTGAACTGTCAATACTGAATCTCAAATACCAGAAAGCTCCTAATACCACACAGATAATTCTCTGCATCCCATTATCCATGGACAACAGGTAGGGGAAATATCTGGAAGAGAAACAGAAGCTTTGCTTAGAGACAGTCAACTTTGTGCCTCATCTACTGTGGAGAAAATGTTTGGGAAGGCAAAAGGGACTGCAAAGGGAAGCAGGGTTAACTGAAGTTTTGACATTCAACACAGGAAAAGTTATGCTTCATGTCTCTATCCTGAGAAAGGTCTGATCTGTGCAGAACACCATGATTTCCTCCTCCTCCCTTTGCTGTTCTTGTGTGCCCCTTGTTAGTACTGGAGGAACTGATGCCTTTTCTTTTCTACAGCTGGAGGTGGAGATGAAGGCCCTGAAGTCACAGGAGTGCACAGCTGAGCAAAGCACCATCATCACCAAGGAGGAGGTTGACATGCTCAGGTAGGCAAAGCAAGGGGAAGGCTGAGAAGATTCTACCATTTTCGGTGGAACTAATGAGAGTGGAAATGCCAAGAGTAGTTTCATTTCCTGCTCTGGTTATTGTTGTATCGTGATAGAGCACTAGGTATAGGACTGCACCATAGAATCATAGAATGGTTTGGGTTGGAACAGACCTTAAAGACCACCTAGTTCCAACCCCTCTGCCATGGGCAGGGACATCTTCCACCGAACCAGGTGGAAGCCTGGTCTTCCAAAGCCCCATCCAACCTGGCATTGAACACTTCCAGGGATGGGGCAGCCACAACTTCCCTGGGCAACTTCTTCCAATGCCTCACCGCCCTCATGGGGAAGAAGTTCTTCCTAATCTTTAATCTAAATCTACCCTCTTCCAGTTTAAAGCCACTGCCCCTTGTCGTATCACTACAGACCCTTGTAAAAGTCCCTCTCCAGCTTTCTTGTAGGCCCTTTTAGGTACTGGAAGGCTGCTCTAAGGTCTCCCCGGAGCCTTCTCTTCTCCAGGCTGAACAACCCCAACTCTCTCAGCCTATCCTCACAGGAGAGGTGCTCCAGCCCTTGGATCATCTTCATGGCCTTCTCTGGACTCGCTCCAACAGGTCCATGTCCTTCTTGTGCTGAGGACCCCAGAGCTGAAGGCAGTACTGCTGGGGGGGGCTCACCAGAGAA